CAAATTATATGCAACAATTGGAGTTGTTATTCCAATATCATAGTTTCCGAACATAGAATAATAGTGCCAGATTGGTATGGTGTTTTATGAACACAGTCTTTCTTATTATAGCCTTTTAAATTCAAGTATTTAAGCAATGTTTGTTTTGCTCACACATTGTTGTCATTATAATGGAATTCTATGCGACTGTCATACAAATGAGAGGTTTAGCTAGCTATAAAACCAGGTTCAATCCACCATTTTCTACATGAGGAAATGCCTGTACCAAGTCAGGAATATGACAGTGGTTTTCCATTCGTTTGATGTGTTTGGGCTTTTGATTTTGCCATTTGATAAAGGAATTTCCGTTTTGAATTTTCATTAGAGTTCGGTATTTTTGCTATTTTACTTTTGATTGTTCGACATTTACTCAGTTATTATAAAAGCGTCAAAACAGTTATGATTTTTTTCCCATTCTGATTTTGCATGCTCTTTACAGTTCTCCTAATCAATTAACATAACTTTTGTAATAATATTTACAATATCCAGAAACTGTCAATATCAGAATGCCGATATTGCACAGTTGGTTTGTTTTTCCATACGGTCTGTAAGCGTTTATAACTCCGAAATAGTGAATGGAGAAAATATCGTTTTAAAAGATATAAAAGAATGTAGAATGTTCGCAATTTATTCAGGCCATTGGAGAAAATCCAGACACAACCAACACATTAATTTTGTTTAATGCATTAAATAAAACTTTGGTGAGATCAGGACCATTTAGAACTTGACATTTGTAGAGAAACCTTCCTCGTATATTAATAATTTTTAAGAGTTGCTAGGGTTCATTGATGATATAGGTGCCTGAAGCAAACAATAATTAGATGCGATGTGGTAGGTCGCAATCGTGTAAACGCCATTTAAAAAAAATTAACACGTGATTCTGAGTTATAGCTAAAACTAAAAGTTAAATGTAATGATTCCTTCTTTTATCATTATTATTTCAATTGATACAATTATTGAAATACAGGACAACACGATAAGATGTCTAGCACAGGTACATCTAATCCTTTTTTTCTCTAACAAAAGTCCACATTTTTACTGTTTCCCTGCTTATAACATGTTAGAGCTTCTAAGGAAGAATGAAGAAAAGGTAGCATTATCCCTTAACTTTTCTTTCAGCTATGTAGATGATGTTCTCTCCCTAAATAATCCAACGTTTGGTGACTATGCCATCGAACTTGAAATAAAGGATAAAACAGATACAGATAAGTCTGCCTCATATATTGACTTGCATCAAGAAATTCACAATGAGGGTCGGTTGAGAACAAAACTTTACGGCAAAATAGATGATTTCAGCTCTCCAATTGTGAACTTTCCATTTCTATGTAGCAATATTCCAGTAGCGCCTGCATATCAAATATATTTCTCCCAGTTGATACGATATTCATGAGCTTGCATTACCTATAATGTTTTCCTTGATAGATAGTTGCTGCTCACAAGGAAGATAGTAAACCAAGAGTTCGAAATGGTGAAGTTGAAATCCTACCTTCGAAAATTTTACGGACGCCATCACGAGTTGGTTGACCGTTATGGAAAATCTGTTTCACAGATGAAGACGGATATTTTCGTAACCACCATTCCGTCCTGTTTTTCTCGATGGTCACCTACCATTTTTGACCAATTTTTTGTTTTTGATGCTTTTTAAATTCATTAGTGTTTTGATTTTCCAAGTGCTTTAATTCGAGCGCAACTGACGATTCTAATGTAGACAAAACATACGTGTTGTATACTACAAGTTACAAGACTGGTATATTTGATGAGTTGTTTTTTTTTAATATTTTTGTATTGTTTTGTTACTGTTGCAAATAGGAATATGATATGCTATTAGCAGTGAAACAGTAAACCTCATGACATAGTCACCACATCATAAGGTGACGAACATCACGTCACATTCAACTGCCTCGATTGTTGAGAATCGACTCAACTCAAAAACTTTAGATTTAAAATTTGCAGCTTCTCAAATAAATAAACAACATATTATAACTACGTACAAAAAGTAGACGGCTTGGAGTCCGAATAATGTTTCAAAGTGTGATTTCGTTTCGTTTATTAAATGGATGATTTGTACTTAAATGGACAACACACAATATATAAAGAATAAATATACAGAAAAAGAGTCGAACAAAATACTTTTATCCTATTTGATAAACACTTCCTCTTTGAATATCTTTATGAACAACTGGTGATATGTTATTATTTATATTATAGGACTGTCGACTGTATTGTTGTCATTTCATGAGTGTTTTATGTGTATTGTTTTGACCAAAATAACACCATTGTATTTGCCATAGATCACATTTAAAAAAATTACAAAATTGCCTTTATTTTGTCTTTCGTTCTTTAAAAAATAACAAACCGTGTAATGTGATCTTAGCATTTGATCGAAAAGAAAGATGATGATGAGGGTTGTTTTTAACTTAAGGTTATTGTTATAATTTTGAGTGACAAAAAGTTAAAAAAAAAAATAACATGAATTAAAAGTAAAATAAACAATAATTTGATAGAAAAGAAAGAAAAGTAAACATTGCAATTACGAAAAAATATATACTAAGCGTTTGTGTACCAATATATAAAACTTTCTAATGATTCAAATAATTGATATTTGAATATTGCTATACATACACTTTACACTATTTTCCTCGTGTTTTATGGATGTTTAGCATGGGAATTGTTTGTGTACTCTTGTGTCTTTATCATTTCCCTCATCACAAACTTATATCCTTACCTAATATTGAAAATCTGAAAAGTATAATTTACATATGAGTGTTTTAGATATTTTGTTGGGACTTTTTATTCTAGGGCTCCACTTCTTTTCTTTTGTTCTTTTGTGGTTTTTTTTTGTGTGTTTTTCGGTAGCAGGGGGAAAACGGATGCACACTTTGGTTTTACCTCTAACATACTTTTCTGCACTAGGTTTTGAGAGAGATTGATTGACGAAATATTATTCTCATTTACTATTATTTCGGTTTAATGCTTGTAATAATAATTCTGGAGGATAACATTCCCTTTTCCCGTTTTTGCCAATGTACTGACACATAATCAATGCATTGGCGGTTGTCCACAATGGCGCTTAGGATCCCTGATGATGTTTACTCTACAAATAGCAGCAATCACTGTGATTTTCTTTAGTTAGCGTAATAAAGAATTGATAGTAACACATTCATATCTAAAAAAACAAATGCAGCCATTTGACTTAAAATATGCAATTCCCTGATGATAAACTATGTCTTCTCAGTATTAGATGTCTTTGTTACGTTTATTCTCTGTACTTCGTAAAGTATACGGAATCTGCCGACGAATTGCAAGTTGTATCGGCGTTTCATTGACACCATGAATGTTTGAATAAAATTCGGTGATAGGATTAATATCTTTTACGTAAGTAGTCGTCCTATGTCTGCTTTGTCTCCTGCAACGTGTTACTGTACATTGGTAAAATTTACGTTTTATGTGTTCATAAATAAGCGATAGAAATGATATTATTACTCCTATTCCTGTTAGATAGAATGCAAATTGGAACTCCAAAACACTGATACTTTTTGCGACTGTAACCGACGTATCTTCACATTTCTCCAACTTTGGTAATGCTTTTCTCAGCCATATCTGAATCAATCCACCCTCTACGATCGAGACGATTCTTAAAGAAACAATAAGTTAACATAAAAACCATGATCAATATGTATTCTTTTAGAAAAGTTAACTTTATAAAATTTGTGCTCTCATTCTTGAACATGCATGGGGATTTTCGTTATGCGATTACTGGGACTTTAGTTGATTATATGTTTTAACACCAATTTTTTATTTACCATGCGATTAAAATACATGTTATAACGACTGTTATATTATTTATTTGTGCGTTTCTCTGTGCTGAGTGTTCTTGCGTTTGTTTGTGCTGTTTTTCTGTCGCGTAGTGTTTTCATTTTAGCAATATTTTTTGTTCACATTGCTATAAAAGCGGCAGGTTTGGCTAGCCATAAAACCAGGTTCAACCCACCATTTTTTCTTAAAATGTCCTGTACCAAGTCAGGAATATGGCAGTTGTTATCAAATAGTTCGTTTCTATGTATGTTGGCGTTTGTTTTTGTTGCACTTCAGTGTTTCTGTTGTTCCGTTGTTTTCCTCTTATAGTTGATATGTTTCCCTCGGTTTTAGTTTGTAATCCGGATTTGTTTTCTCTCAAACGATTTATGACTTTTGAACAGCGGTATACTAATGTTGTCTTTATTTGATGCTGCAAAAGGACTTTGATAGCACGGACGTCGGATTGTTCAGAAAAATAATACAGTACACAATGAGTCAAAAATATATGCCTACGAAGTATACGACACAGTAATTATTTGGATTTTGTTTGGCATTAATACGTGTCATATTTCTCAAAAGAACGAGACTTACAATATTTTCTCTTTGGGTCTAATCTTAAACTGTTATCTTGAAAGTCGACCATGTAGCACTTTATATAGACAAGATCCTCGTGTTTTAATATAGGATCATAGTATATTCTTCTACGCCAAAATTACCATACCAATAGCTAACCATATAAAGGTCATTCATAGTATATGAAGATCGTCTTGGTTGATAAGTTGTTTCTGACAAAGAGATCGCTGCAGCTTTAACTGATTAGAACCGATTATAATGACAGACTCTTTAAAAATATTTTATTAGTTTTTGAAATGAAAAAGAAACATCAAAGCAAAGTTATGCACCTGCGGTGTCCGTCCTGGAGTAAAACACATGCGGCGAGCGGAGGGACGCAAAATAATTGCAAAATACAGAGAAGTTAAGTAACTCATTCATACATGTACAAGTGGCTTTCAACAGTTCAGTTGCTTGTAAAACCGAAATCTTAAACTTACTCATCAGAAAATACTTTTACAAAGGGAGAATTGCTCGGCAACGGAAGCGCTATCAGCAGTGTATGAAAATCGGCAGGTGATATCACTGACATGTCACAACTCTCTCCTATTGCCATATCTAGATATGTCCGGTCCCCAATATATGCATATTTGCCACCTCTAACTTTACGTATTTGTTCAGCCGGGTCACTACTTAAAACTGATGGGTCACTCTGGTTAAATTTTAATATGCCATTCCAAATCTTTTTGCGTTCTGGTAACTCCGAATTCTGTAAAAATAACACGTAAATTACACATGCTAATTATATAAGTTTGAATTAATTAAGTCTACTAGAAATCTTCATATAATAATTATTCAGACAAGGGCTTTGGAAACAATGAATTCGGTGTAATCTTATGACATTGCACAAATTATATCATTTTTTATACTAAAAGACACATTAGGTCATAAATTGCATGAAATTAATAGATATAATCATAGAAGTTTTACGTCCAGTGACCAATATTACATCCATATTCAAGATATCAAGACAATAACATGATAATGAGTTATGAATTCACTCTGCTTCAAAGTACTAGATAAACACTTCAAAGTAACAGAACATAGGAAGAAATGTCACCCTACCTGGATACATTATTGCGACTCTGAGCCAACCGTTTTTGCTAATACTCCTTAATTGTGCATGCTTAACCAAAATTTTAATTTTCAAATTTTTGGTTCGACACAGCACGCGAACATGCTATTATGAGAACGCCGAGGCGGGTACTGAGATAGGACCTGTCATATGATCCTTATGCTCATCCATGATTAATGAGTTGTGTGCCATGTATTTTAATGTTATTGTTTAGTTTCAATTGTACAGATTTCGAAACAGAGGGCACACTGTAATTTATACTTCAATTGGTATCGTTAAATAATATATGACTTATGAGGGAGAAAATGATATATTTGTTAAGAAATCGCATCGAAAATGCATAAACATAAAGACTCTTTTAGTTAATATATATGAACCAAACATCCCCTATAAAAGAACTCCAATTTATTACTTAAATGTTATCAGCTATCCTGCTTTTGTATAAGGTATTGGATTGCAATATTTGTCGTCTAGCCTTGGTACCATGACTCACTTGGTACGGTATGATATTGTTTATTTTTGTTTTTTTATACTTGTGTTTGTGTTATCAATTATTTTATTATTCAAGGGAAACATGCATTTCTGTTTCTAATTTTTTCTTGTATGTTCTTTTACAAATCTTTTGTTTGTCCACTGATTGGGAACACAAAAGGGAGAGCGTTAAGATATCAAAAGCCACGTTTAACTCCACTATATGTCAATGTGTCCGTAAATTTGGGGAATTTGGAGTTGGTCGTAGATTTTTTATAGCCTCAGTCTGTTAAATCCAATCCAATTGTCGGCTGATTTAGAGCTTGATAAATTACATAGAAACCGTTCTATTTTTATTAACCGTATGTTGCCCTCTAGATGCATATGTCTATAGTCGGTTGTTTGTGTTGTTGTATTGCTGCAATATTTAATTCTTCATTCATAGTCATATAATATTGAATTTGACTTTTTTCAATCCAAATTGTAAAAACTGGAAACATGTGCTTACAATTTTATAACTGCATCGAGCTTCTTAATATTTTAAAACGTAATCCCACTTTGAGAAAACCACTCAAAAAGAGAAGAGAGGAAGTTCACAATCTTATTTTCAAATGTATCTTTTGGATTAAAAAATACCTTTAAGATAGTTTCAAATATAGTGGCGCCAGCTGTACCCCATTTATAGGCACTTTGTTCAACTAATCCTTCTACGTCTTTAAAAGGTAATGTTTCTTTTGTAACTGTTAAGAAAGCCACGAAATTACCACTATATGAGCCACCATTATGATGCAAAATAACCACCAGCAGCTCAGAAGTGTCCTTCCTGCTGAAGAAGCTGCGACATGTTCTCCACCTGAAATAATGTTCTGTTTCTACCAGTAAGATAACAAAATACATCATTCTATTGCTATACATGTAATTAAAATATTACGATAAAATACTAATTAGATATATGAAGATGGTTGTTGCTACCAAGAAGGACAACTCTTTACTTTTTCATATTAAAAAGTTTTGTATTGAAGATATAAAAATAGAAAACTTACCTTGGCAAAATAATGCTCCATACATGTAAAAGAACGAATCAGAGAAATGATGCAGTCCTCTGATCTTCATTCTACCAGCAACGTTTCTGTAAAACGGGTTAAACTTTTCAAAAAGAAACAGAAAAAATGTCGTTATTGGAAGAGAAATCCCAATACAGATATAAACCATAGGATTTAATGGATCAAACAATTTTGTGGAGTACGATGGATCTGGTTTTTTTATGATAATTCCTGATTTTTCGTAATAGTAAGGCAGTGTAAAATCTGATACTGTTTCTCTGTGTGCATCTATAGCTAGAGGTGCTGCTACTAAATCTATTTCCTGGAAAACATGTTTTAATTAAAGTTTTGTCTTTGGCAATTCATAAAAAAAAATTAATATAACACAAACAACAATTTTATAACTAGTGGCGCTGCAACTAAATCTACTGCCGCAGCAAACAGCAATTAAATGATCGTATAACCTTAATAACATTTGTTAGTACAATAGAGTGTGTTTGCACATTAACAAGATTGCATTTTTCTGTCTTGTCACCGTTAAGATAATAATCATTTTGGTTTTTTTCTATTTTTTTCTGATTGTTTTTCTCTTTATTTTTGAATCTGTATAGTTTATACATTGTAAATTGTCTCGGATTTCAAAGTTGCCAGCATTTGTTTAAAATGTACCAATCTAGACTTTTTTCAAATAAAAAACAAAAACATTGGTTTTTTACTTCCTTTTTTCAGCTGTGAGTCATGGTGAGAGAGCATAAGTACTATATATATAAAAAGCTTCAAATTGTATCGAACAGCTGATACATAAATTTTGCAATTGAGTCATGCGACATATCTAATTTATCGATACTCGCATTGTTTTGCTGTCCTCATTATGATCTAAGTAATAGTTATTCTTTGTTTTTCAGTTAAGCTCTCGCGAAGATTTTACAATTTTGGATCAAAGTCATACATTTTGATGTAAGGGGAAAGTTCGAGTCAATGTTATTATTGACCGATACGATATGTCTATCTCTCAACTCACGAGCGACATGTTTTCGCAGTCTTAGATCTTTATATACCAGAACAGTCGTTCAATCTGTAATTTTACCGATTGTGACATTTAGACAGTGTGGATTCGCATGGCGGGTGATGCATGCATAGTAGGAGACGCTTACCCTGTCGACGCAACCGGTCTCGCTTCTTTTGAAGTTCACGTAATTTCCCTCAGCTTTTATTTGTTACCATGAATAGCTCTTTAAGTGTTTCGGTACGTATACACCTCGGCTTTTTAATAGTTGGCTTTAAGCGTTACTGGTGAAGGTAAATCCGAAAAAGCGCTTCGAACGCATAAATAAAAGAGTTGTTTTCACTTTTTGAGGGGAGTTTAGAACTTGGTTCCGGTAACAATTCATTATTTCAATTATTCAGAAACACCAGAGATTTTAGAGGAATAAAAACTAGTATGATAAATTGCGTTTTGCAAGTTAAGACTTGGAAATTTGAAAATCACAAAACATGAAATAGTAAACATTCAAGTCCAGAAAGCTGAAAATCACTAAATAAGACAGGAAGTTTTCACTTTTTAGAAATTTTGTGTTGACGAATGCAACTTGTTGCTTCACAAACCATTCTCCCTCCCTCAATCTATATTATGTCCTTATATTGTTTTGATTCTATCAAAGTATATTGTGTTAAATACTCATACTCACTCGTCGTTGTAATTGTCCAAACAAACCATTCCAAGTGTTATTGCCAGATGCCACGCCCCATTTTCCATCAGGTGGCGATATCAATTCATAGCTACAGAATATGAATGGGATTGGCATACAAGCTAATTATTTTTTTTTCACATTTTTAACGCAGTTTACCTCTTTCTTTTCATTTTGCTTTGTTTTTGAAAATTTTTCAATGCTAAAAATCAAGTTGTGAGACAGATTTGTGATAAGCTTTAAATTAATACCTTAAATTCATGTTATCTTATCGAATGAAGTGTACATTTTTCGACAATTAAAGTTCTTTGAAACAATTCTAGATTGATTCAGTCCGATTGAATATTCTGTGAACGTGGAATAGTTCGTTTTGGTTTGTTTGTTGGTATATGGCTATAATAGCTGGAATGAAAAACCAATTCTTTGTAAAATAATAGATCTTTATTAATTGCTGGTCAGTGTTCAAGTGACTTACATGATAACAATACATAATAAGTTCATACATATATAATTGAAATAAACAATAATCATTTAAATTGAATGCAGAATAATATAACGATGGAACATATATATTCGCATTATAAAACAATTAAGATAAAATGGGGGAGCTAACTAGCTCAATTAAATTATTGTGCTGATGCCAAATAATGTCAACATGAGTGAGACAAGGGCCTCTTTTTGAATTTTGATAAGTGTTGCCATGGTAACCAAATTATTTACTTTAACACTAAGTTAAATTAATGAAGTGTAAACAGAACATAATTACTTTAAACATAAGAGTATAAAAACATAATACTTATATACAACAATGGAATCTGAACAATAAAAATGTATATGGCTACAAGGAGAGAATTGCGCTTTATTTTCATTTCTAGTTCTGACTTTAAAACAAACATTTATACATGATTCGAATACATACTTAAACTGTCTTAATTACTAAATCAATATACACAACTCTGGTTGTTACCTTTTAGCCTTCATGGTGAATAAAATGCACATTCTTAATTTTGCATTTGACGCAGTGTTTATTTTATTCTTAAAAGTGGAGATAACTCTGTTAAATACAGCTTAATACCGCTATGTTTTTCAACATAAAAAATGGAATGAAACGTACCATAACTACTTGCGCTTTATGATCAGATTCAAATTAACTACTAAATAACTCAATAAAAATACCGACGCTAAATAATATTTACACGATAAAGCAAATGACTAAAATAAGTAAGTCTTTTTCTTTCAAATACTTAAACATTATGAAATATCAAAATATGTGACAAAGTCGCGTTATTTAAACATTGCAATTATCTAATTATTAAAAAGAAGGATAAAATGCTAAATTCAATAATAGGAAACATAAAGACTTTGTCTCTAAAACATGACTATTTACATTAGAAAATTCTGTAATTGTAAAAATACTTTTAACTTCAAATAAGCTGTTACGACTGCATCTATACCCTTTTTAGTTTATAATATCTTAACATCTAGAGAATTATCATTTAAAATATCAATGCATAAAACATGAAAATATTCATTTTAAAAATATCAACTTATAAAACTTAAAGTTACACTCACCTGGAATGAAAAACCAATTCTTTGTAAAATAATAGATCTTTATTAATTGCTGGTCAGTGTTCAAGTGACCACAATTTCATAAAATACAAATTTTGTTTCATTCCCATGTGAGGCCCAATTAGGTAAAATAATTATATACACAAAGGAAAATATCTCATAAACCCTGTCACTGGCCCCATGTCACCTAAGAGCTAAAATCTATGATAGCGTGGTCTTAATCCGGACATGCTAATCCAACATATAGTCAAAGGTTACATAATATTTGCTATCGCTAATAGATAATATAATAAACTCTACTTTCCAGCTTTTGTAAATCTTTTGTAGAAAATGTCAAATAATAGCTATTTTAATTCTTTGTCTAATTCTGGTATTTTACATAATCTCTTTTAAAATTAACTTATATATTTGGGTGACATGACGACAGTGAAATTCTTTTTATTTATAAAATAAATTAAAACTCATTTCTATAAAAACTATAGTAAAAATATGTAAAAGATCTATAAGAAAAGTGATGGTGCATTTTTCCCTATCACAAATATCCCCGTCATTAAAGATTCTTTGTCCTCAAAGAACATAAGAAATAAAGTATAAAGTATCCAAATATTTAAAAGTTTCCCTCTGGGATCAAGTCAACATACACTTCTGAAATACATATTTGCAACAAGTCACATGAATACAATAGGATATTGTGCCCTTTTTCAGCATACAATTCGAATATAAATGTTTTATGTCACACAATGTAAAATTTGATTAAAGAGGTATATCTTTGAAAGAATTGTATCATACCAGTGTTCATATTGAGGCAATTCACATTACTATGGCAATCAATAAACAACCTTGAAAAAATTGTTGTGTACAACTAAAATGTATGATGTGAATGGTGATTTAAAAATGTTTCTCAACATTTTTGCTTTAATTGGATTGACTGTAAATGTGTCAGGTACCTTGATTTGTTGTTTTGTGTGAACATTGACTATGCTTAAGCCTGACATTTCAACATGTAGTTTTTTATAAAAAGTACCAGATATTCTCATGTTTGTTATGTTATTTGGTGTTGCAATATCCCAATCTGATGGACATAAAGGTAAATTAACAACTGGTATTGTCAAGCATGTTAAACCATTGCTGATTTCAAGTATGATTTTAGTGTGATGTCTTGTGCATACTTGTTTATATAAGTAATGCAATACTCCAACAAATGAGATAATTGTGATTGCTGACAACACTATTGATGGCCACTGATTTAACTGTGGTGATAATAATGAATAATAATTTTGAGTTGTTGATATAGGTGATTGCATGTAATGAAATGTTGGTGGTGTTTGTGGTGTCACAAATGCAGCTGATGATGGAGCTTTTTGTAACAGTATAAGTGCTGTTGTCAATGCACGAACTTTGTTAAATAGTACAATGCAAGCAATCGTCAAAAGTATTGATAACACAAGAGATATTAGTGAGATCATCTCATTTGTGTTTGGCCAAGAATCGTCGATATCAATTTCACCATCAAGTAATGGTTCTGACAATGAGGTAAATATTTTTCTGTCTGCCTTTGCTGCTTTTGCTATTCTTTTCAGGCTTAAGTGTAAATTATTGTCTTGTGCAATGACTGAGTTAAATGTATGGTTATAAAAATGAAGGTTGGGAAGTGTAATGTCTGCTGGGTCTGTAAAAGTTGTGTCACCTAATATCGAATTATAAGTTTCGGATGAGAAAAAGTGTTGAATAAGTGCTAAATTTACTGGATGTACTATAGTCATTGTACTTGTATTGTTATCGCACAATCCTATTTTTGCAGGTATAAATAACGAATCTGTTTTTACAGAACAAAGACATGGAACATGTATAATACAAAAGGAACATCCTTTTTCAATTTTATGACCTGATGGACAGTCAAAAGCAAGTGTTTTGGTTTTGTATACAAGTAAACTTGTGTCAGTTATTTCTATGACTGCTGGCTGTATGATATTTGTAAGGAATCGGAAATTGCAATTTGAATGTACGCTTTCTTTGTCATTGAACAGTAGTGCAAAGGAACAACTTGGTGAAACAGATGAAAGTAAAGGAAAAGTTTTTGTGCAGTACAGTGTATCTATTCCTGAACATGTTTTTACAAATTCATCTGATAATTCTGCATACTGTCTGTTATCAGATGTAATTACTAAGTACTGTGGGAGATCTAATAATTGAGTTGCGTGATTGCTGGTTGTATTTATAGGTACAGGGTATGAGTTTATTTTGTATAGAGTGAGTGGATTCACAAATGTAGTAATTGGAAATTTGATGCTAATGAATAAATTTTTGTGATGTCTAGTATATAAAATATTAGCTTGTGAATAATAATATGATGGGTTCACATTATTTAAGTAAAAACCTTTGAATTTGTCATTTAAGATAGATTGAATATGCTGAATTGTACGTTTGAGATTTTGTGGTGAAATTAAAAATGGTGATAATTTGCCTTTAACTAACTCATGGACAGCTATTTTGAGTTCTTCTAGATACTTATTAATTTCAGCTGTTTCATTCATTTGTTTGAGTAAAAATTTTGACAATTTGATGCTTAGTTTCTCAAATTGTGAGATGAATTTTGCAGTTTCTTTAGTGATATTTTGAATACCTTCATAATTGTTTTTTATACCAACTATGATATTATCAAATCTCTTATTTGTTTTTGACATATATGATGATAACAATTTATCGTGATGTGTAATATCTTTTGCAAATTCATTATTTCTTCTGATTAAAATGTTTACATGTTTTGCTAATCTATTTACATCCTCAGTAGTTGCTGTGCCAAATAAAGATTTGGAAATTGAACCAATAAAGTCAAATAGTCCACGCTTTAGTCTAGATTCTGTATTGGATTTGTCTTCAATATCAATATGTGGAATAAGTTTATGAATAACCTCGACTGTGTGATTCACATTTGATGATACTTGAGTTCTAATTGCAGTAAGTTGTGATAAGACTTGGTTTAAAATGTAACAATGTTGATGTGTAATATCACATTGTTCAAAGTGATCATCAGTTTGTTTGCTAGGAAGGGGAATCTTGAAAGTGTGAAGCCAATTTTCACGACCCGAAAGTAAATTTGGTTGTCTCTCAAACACTACTCCATAATTGATACGTTGTATCTGGTGCACCTTGTCAGCTGACACACATATCATTATCCACAACCATATAAAAATCCTGGCAAGACTTATAACTCCTATAGAAAACAAAGAAAAAGGAAATTGATAGAATGTGAAATGTTTGTTGGGTAAGAGGTTGCATGCCTCTTTTAGCACTAAGTAACATGAGCATAGGCTCATAATTTTTAACAAACATTACACAGAAAGCAAAGAAAGAATTTTATAGTAAGAGTGTTCAGTTATGCCAACATCCTCATATAATGTTTCACAGATAGATAGGTGACCAATGTATGAAGTTTTAGATATATATGTAAAATTGTAAAAATCCACTACCATAAAAGTTATATATATATATATGTAATAATCTATCTCATGAAAGTCAAATGGAAGAAAAAATTTCAAAATTGCTATACAAAACATGGATTCCTTTGTGGGCGTTTGCGTCTTCTCCCCTGTTGTGTTTTTGTAGCATGGAAGTTATTGATAATGTCATCACTTAAATCTTTGGCAAGTTGCCATGTAAGTCCTCTGTAACCTTTCCACTTTATTAAATATTGTTTTTGACCGTCAATTGTCCTTGACCTAATAATTCTTTCTATTGGGTACTCCTGGTCATCATTTTGATCCTTTGGATCTGCATCATTGTCATCATCATCAACAATAGGTGCTTGTTGTGCCTTCTGTTGAGGTTGTACTTGTGGCTGAACTGGCATTGGTAAATCTGGACGAGGCACATCCGTGGGAGGTGCATTTAAATTTTGTCTGTGATCAGGTGGGTGGTATAGTTTTAGCCTGTTTGCATTGATCATACTTTTGAGTAATTTATGGTCGCTACATCTGCGCAATTTGTATGTGTAATTCGAACCTTTGTCAACAATGTAGAATGGTCCATCTTGTTTCTTGTAAAGTTTGGAAGAATATCCAACTGGTACTTTTGGAGTAAATACTAAAACTTGGTCGTTTACTTCAAATTTTGGCAATTCTGTACGTTTGTCATAATTTGTTTTCTGCTTTTGTTGAGCATGGTTTAAGTTTTCTGTAGCTATTGCCTTAGCTATTTTCAAGTTGTCCAATATATTATCAATATGTGTTTTCAGGTTTTTGTTAAGATCTTCCCTTGGGATAAGGTTGACATCAAAAGGAAGGTTCATGTCTTTGCCAAAAACAAGATAGAATGGAGAGTACTCTGAAGAAGCAGATGGAGTCATGCGAAAAGCCATTAGAATACCAGGCAGTAGTTCTGGCCAGTTTGACTGTTGTTCATTAATGACAGTTCTAATGCATTGTATGATGGTTTTGTTGGTACGCTCAGCAATTGAATTTGTTTGAGGATGGTAAGAGCTTGTAAAGGAATGTTTGACATTAAAAATGTGGTTAACTGCTGCAACAAGCTTGCTCATGAATCCTTGACCACGATCTGTACAGATTGATACTGGGCTTCCAAATCTTGTAAATATCTCTTTGTGCAATACAGAGGCAATTTCTGCTGCACTTTCTGACTTAACTGGAAAACATTCTACCCATTTACTGAAGGAATCTACTATGATTAAGATGAAGCGATGTCCTTCGCTTGTCTCTCTCTTAAAAGGACCAATAAAGTCCATGTGCCATCGAGCAAATGTATCTGTAATTGGCATTGGTGTCATTGGAACTCTTTTGGAATGTGGTGGATATTTTGCTTTTTGACATGGTTCGCAACCTTTAATGTACTCTGTTACTACTTGGTACATGCGTGGAAAATAGTACTTTTCTTGAATAGACTGGTATGTCCGATCAAAACCAAAGTGTCCGTGATCATGGTATGCCTTCATTAGATCATTTCTAAGTGTACGTGGCAATGCAAGTTGTTTAATGAACCTTTTGATTTTTCTTAAACCTTTTTGTCTTGGTTGGTACTGATGATACAGGACATCATCTTGCATGATATATTGGCTTGCCTCTAGGACAACCTTTTGTGCTATTTTCTTGTCATCTGGTAGTGTGTTGTTTTTAACATATTCATATATGAGACTAAAATCTGGACATTCACTCTGAAGTTTGCCTATTTCTATGGGTATGATATCAGATGTTGTTAATTCTGCAACTAAAGGTGATGTGCTTTGAGGCTGATCAGAATAGACAAAAGTAACTTCAAGAAAAGGATTTTCAGATTGGTCAATAGCATGAATTGAAGGTATGACATCTTCAGGTTCAGAAATATCAGATTCTTTTGTGACTGGATATTCACGTCTAGAAAGACAATCAGCAACGACATTTGTTTTACCTTGTCTGTATAAAATTTCCATGTCATAACCTTGTAACAAAACTGACCATCTGGCCAAGCGACCAGTAGATTGTTTGATGTTGTTCAGAAATTTTAGAGCATTGTGATCTGTATACACTTTAAAATGTTTGTATGCTAGGTAAACATGATATGTTTTGACACCTTCCAATATAGCTAGACATTCATGCTCACTAGCTGACCATTTCCTCTCTGCTTCCGTTAAACTTCGACCACCATAAGCTATAACTTTTTCTTGGCCTTCAGAATCTAATTGAGCAAGAAAATAACCAATAGCTGTGCCGCTGGCATCAGTGGTAAGAATAAAGTCTTTCGACATGTCAGGATAAGCAAGAATAGGAGATGAAATCAGAGTCTTCTTGAGTTTATCAAAAGCAACTTGACAATCCTCTGTCCATTCAAAAGGTACATTGTCCTTAGTCAGATTATGCAATGGACCTGCAATATGGCTATATCCTTGAACAAATTTTCTGTAATAGTTACAGAGACCTAAGAAACTTCTGACCTGTTTTTCAGTTTTAGGCACAGGAAAAGATTCTACAGTTTCAATTTTAGATTTGTCAACTTCAACACCTTTCTTAGAAACTTTATGGCCTAGATAAATGACTTCTTTTCGTGCAAACTGACATTTGCTTGGTTTAAGTGTGAGATTTGCAGCTTTCAATCTGTCAAAAACAAGCTGAAGATGTTTTAAATGTTCTTCAAATGTTCTGCTAAAGACAAGTATGTCATCTACATAGACTAGAGCAATCTGGTAATTGAGACGATGAAGAACCTGAGTCAAAAGATGTTGAAAAGAAGATGGTGCTGCTGATAAACCAAAAGGAAGCCTTTTCCACTGATAAACTCCACTAGGAGTGACAAAAGCAGATTTATGAGCCGTGGCTGGGTCTAACTGACATTGCCAATATCCGGACAAAAGATCTAAAGTTGTGAATATCTGCGCTTGTGAGCGCCCTAAGGAGTCAAGAACATCCTCAATGCGAGGCAAAGGAAAAAACTTGGGACGTGACACCTTATTAAGGGAGCGAAAATCACAACAGAACCTCAGTTCCCCAGATTTCTTTTTGCACATGACTACAGGTGCAGCCCATTCACTGATGGACTCTTCTATGATACCGTTTTCAAGCATTTTGTCAATTTGTTTGTTCATTTCTTCTAGAACTGGTGGAGATTGTCTGTAAAATCTTTTTCGTATTGGTGGCGCATCACCAGTGTCAATTGTATGTTTGTATAGATTTGTATTTCCTAGTTCACTAAGATCTTTGGCAAAAACTCGTCTATTTTTAGAAAGAAATGCTTGGAGAATAGTTTTTTGATCTTCAGACAGATCTGAGTCACTAAAATCAAAGTCTAAGATGTCACACTGATCATCAGATTTAGAATTCTGAGTGTTCTTATCAACTTGAGTGTCTGTTAAAGAAATGATAGATTTAGAGTCAACTGCAGAAACTGAAGCAACAACAAAGTTAGCTGGCAAATGAATAGTTTTTTCTGTAGGATTCATGACTCTCATGAAAGAATTGCCAGTGTCATCTAGTTGAACAATGGACTTTGCCCCAGCTAATGATTGACTTGGTAATGTGTGCAAGGGTTCTAAAAGAGCAGTTTGGTTTCTTAAATTGGACACTTTGACTGGAATGTCAACTTGATGTAACCCTTTGATGTGAATGTGTCTCTTTGTTCGAGCTAAACCATTGTTTAACTCTACAGAATGGACAAGTTTTTCATCAGTGTCTGGCTCTGGGATAAACAGAGTGTTAGAGGGACAATCAATGATTGCTCCATTTTCAGTTAGAAAATCAAATCCTAAAATCATACTCTGTTGCATTTTGGAAAAGACATGAAAACGATAGACAAAAGAAATATTTCCTATAGTAAAAGGCAAAAGGATAAGTCCTAAAATGGGATGGTGTTCACCCCCAACACCTACAGCATCTTGAACTCTTGTTCGCTGAATTTGTTTAAGATCAATGTTTAAAGATTTGAGTAAGTTTACTGAGCAGCAGCTAATAGCTGCTCCTGTGTCAACCAAACTTTTTACGTTGTTACCTTTTATTGTAACGTGAACTGTGTTGCCATTTAATTTTGACAACTGTGCAATTTCTGGTAATTTTAAATTTTCATTTTTGTGTGTTTCTTTTCTGTTTTTGAAATTTCTGTTTTGGTGTTGTCTCTCCTGCCTTTGTTTTGTGTGTCAATAACCTACCCTATAATTAGATTGTTGTCTTGGTTGCCAGTTTTGTGAATTAGATTGTTGTCTTGGTTGCCAGTTTTGTGAATTTGCCTTTCGCTCATCAAATTCTTTCTTATCACATACCTCTTTAAAATGACCAAACTTGTGACAATAAAAACATTCAACATTGTATGCTGGGCATTTTCTCCTATCAAATACATGTGACTTACCACAAAACTTGCATTTGGTCAGTGACTGCTGCCTTGATCCCCTATAATTTTGACTGTAATTTGGCTTGTTTTGATCATGATGAGGTACACCCACTGCCATCACTTGTTCTTTAAAAACTGATCTTATACCCTCTACTAAAGAAGAACATAAATCATTAATTGAATGTACATTGTTTACACTTTCTACTTATATATTTGGGTGACATGACGACAGTGAAATTCTTTTTATTTATAAAATAAATTAAAACTCATTTCTATAAAAACTATAGTAAAAATATGTAAAAGATCTATAAGAAAAGTGATGGTGCATTTTTCCCTATCACAATTCAATCATATCTTATATTTTATTTTTCCGTCCAATGAGTTTCCTTTTCTGAAATGTGTAGAATAGTGATACAATAAAACAAAATCGACAATGTAAAATTTTGGTACATACGTAAAATTAAGCCTGCGTGATAATTCTTTTAGAAGTTCAATGGACAGTCCTTTATACTCATTTGTGACTTCATCTATCTCAACATAAGGCTTCCACTTGTAAATATAAATAAAAGAAAGAACAACTTTAAGTTAACAATATATGATTGAGAACATTCAGTCTGGTCGAAATTTTAAGGTTCTATATTACTTTGTTAAACAGTCTTACATTTTAGTACGTATGAACATAAGATGTGGCGTGATTACCATTTATGGGGCCTTGATACCTCTGCTTGTAAGGCCTATTAGTCACCGAGGCTATCATCAGCTCAGTGGTCAGTATTCGGTACTGACATGATTTAAAACAAACCTTTGTAATAATGTCCGTTTATGAAATATGAAGTTATAAAGAAATTGAGGTTTCAACATCCTCCAGCAAAGTTGGCCTTAGATGGATTTGGCTATTTTTTGTGTCCTTCTTTAGTCATATAGCTTTTCAACTGTTTCGGTTTCTTACAAATCCTTGACTTTCAAATATTCGGCTTTGATGTTCCTGGTGAAGGTTAATCCAGAAAAACGCTTTGGACGCATGAAATATATAGTGTTGTTTTCATTTTTTATACTACTATCCACCAGACAAAAGGATGATGAGGTAGACTAATGCATTGTAAACACATACAGCATAGTAAGCACAAAAGGCCTCGTTATATCAAATGTGATCAAAAACAACGGCCTATACAGAAAAACTGAAATACTCATTAAAAAATTAATTATAATCATTACTGTTTGCACTTATAACCTATAAAATAGGTAATGTGTCGTACTATTGTTTGCAGTTCATAGACCATACTGTTTAATCATTTGATAAGTTTGCAGAATAAAAAGAATATTATTGAATATCATTACAATAATGACCTTTCATATAAATGTAAACATATTTTATCAATTATTTACTTGGCGTTTTGATCTACTGAGCTAAAAAGAAATTTACCGTTTGTGGAAATTCTGATTGGAAGACCAATGCTTTCTATCCGACTTTTACGAGATACATTGAATCTTTGGCATTTTAGTAAATAATGTTCAATTTGTATCAAGTTTCTGTCAAAGAAATATATGTCACGAACGCTACAATTACTTCTTATTCTTAACTACTTACAGGCAGTAAGCTTATCAAGAGCATTTTCTGATTGAATCCAAACTTAACGTTCGGAAATATGTCTTTTTGAAGGTATAAACTTCCATTGAAGTAAACATATCCTACAGTTGTTAATTTGCGTTTTCGGTCATTACTCCACATCAATGTCTCAATTGACTCACATTTACAGTAATTATTATTCATCCACGGCTACAAAACATCAGAAAATAATCTTTAAAAATAAAACAAAATCGCAAATGTGGTTTTCTTGAAGTTTTTTAAACTCTCGGGTTTGAAAAATGTTCAACTCAAGCTTACAAACTTTAGGTCATGATTTTTCATTTCATATTCCAACACAAGAACATGTATTCATTATATGACGAGTAATATTTTCCTTAAATAGCATTTTTTTAATATAGGCATAGGGCTATTCAAAAAAATTTCACACATTTCTAAATTGAAAATTTTTTTTAAAAGCCAAATGGAATTCAAAACGAAGAAAATGAAATCAAACACAGTTGATAACCAATTCTGGGCATACTTATTGGAATTTGCAAAAGATAGATAATGATATAGGGTTTTCGTCGATGAGCCTACATCCAAACAACACAATGAAAATTGTATATCTTTATTTTGAACTATTTAAAAAGAGTGTTGCTCTTACCTCGGACATTTTTGGACTTTCACAGGTAAACTGTTTGGTTTTAAATTGTCATTACTCTAATGTTCAACGCATTATTGTTTTATCCAGATCATTTGATTGGCAATATTTGTCCATCAATATGATTTTTATTCAATTTCAAACTGGATATTGATATCGTCTTGAACATGCATAAAATATGTGTCACTGGACGTTGTTCAACTAACAATCAATCAATCAATCAAACTTGTTAAGAACCCTTTTAAATGTTTAACTACATATTCTTATTCAATACAATTTTAAAAGACGGTCCTTTATCAGAAATATCATTAATGTACTGCTATTGAATAATTGTCTTCGCGTACTCTGATTCGCCGACAGCTTTTCCGTATTCAGTGACCTTAACCACGACACATCTCGTTAGAAACGCATCCGGACAGAGCAAGTCCGAGGAAAAATCCGTGATGAAAGACAGGCAAACAAACGTGGAAGAAAGATAGTATTAATCGATTCTAAAAAATATTAATACATCAATCGATTTTTGACAACTGTTTAATCAACGAACGGGATCGCCAGAACAAATTAAGTAAAAACAACAAATAAATATCGCTTTATCATCTCACTTTTTTTTTTATTCAAGTGCTACATGATCCTGTGTTGACTTTTTATCAAGGTTACGATCGGTAAACTTCTGAATTAAAAAAAACAAAAGTTGATTAGCAGCCAAAGTTTTCGATCAACAATCACCGAATGAAATATTTTTATTGATTATACGTTATAGATTCGTAATAAATATTAGGAGGTTGATGGTTTTTTTTTTGGGGGGGGGGGGCATGTTTTGGTTCAATAATGTCATTAACATTACAATAATCAGAAACTCGTTTCATATGACTTGAAGAGTCCATGATATTTTGAACTGCAGTTTTAGTTTAATAAAAAAATATAGTTTGCCTAATATTATCTAACTTAAAACAGATTAAATATGCACTAGATGAGCATATTAAGTTATAACATCAAATATTAGTAAGTGCCAAAACAGTTACCACAAGGTAAGGAAAAAAATACATCTTGAAGTTCATTTTTATTTCAGAAGTGATTGCAAAAAAACATATAATCTGAAAAAATTACGTCATTTCTTTCACTAAATATTCCAAAAATATCTAATGTAATTTACATTGTAGTTGACAAAATATATTTAAGAACATCTAACATAAAGAGAGTATGATATATCTGGTCTAACCAGCAGAATTATGCTAGACACAACATATATATAATAATTCTTACCGTATAATTCCGGTGCTGTTCACCATCAGATGATAAATTATATTGTATTAACGCTACATTATCAAACTCAATACCGGAATCACTTGGCCAAGATGTCACATCAGTCGAAGTATGGAAAATACCAACCAGCCATCTTGAATAATGTAGCAAGGAATTTCGGAAGGCATTTTTTCGGTCATAATCAAATGGCTGAAATATTTCGTTGAAATATATATTGAACAATTGTAAAAAAAATTGTTTATCTCCGTTTTATTTCATTTATTGATGCTTATTCTTCAAAGGATCTTCAAATCGATTAAATCAGTATTGTTACCATTAATTGATGGCTATGTTAATATTTAAATTCAATATCAACTATAATAATAAAAAAGATACATTTCTCCATGTATTTGAAAATCTGAGCTTTGTTTAACTCAATTATAGAAGATATGTCATGTTAAAGCCTGTTCCAATAATAAAATGGAAGAAAAAAATATACCTGTTTTAAAAATTGTCGACTGTTTTCCCATCTACAAAGCACTATGAAATTAAGTGTGCCTGAGGCATCCTTAAAAGTAGTATTTGATAAATCATCAATTTTGAATGACGTCACTTCTTCTATACGATAATTCACCCAAAATGTTCCAATCTTTGACAAACCTTCCTGCAGCTGTATTGCTTCATGTTCTAAAAACAAAAATTGAAAACCAAACGTCATAATTTTACTTTTTGACGTGAACACTTGACCTCATATATATATATATATATATATATATATATGAGGTCAAGTGTTCACGTCAAAAAGTATGACGTATATAATTATAAAAATGAGGACATGTGGTATGATTGCCAATTATTGCCTATGAGAAAACTATCCACAAGAGTTAAAATGAAGTGGTATTAAGCAATTGAAGTCCACCGTACGGCCTTCAACAATGAGAAAAATGCATACCGTATAGCCGGTTATAAAAGGCCCCGACATGAAAAATGTGTTACAATTCAAACAAGAAAACTTACGGCTTAATTTATAACAAAACAATTTACGAAAAACAAATATGACAGACATGGACTAACGACAACCACTGTACTACAGGCTCCGGAATTGAGACAGGCACATAAAGAATGTGGCTGGGTTAAACATATTTGTGAGTGCTCAACCCTCCCACTGACCAGGGACAGCGGTGTTACAGCACAACATACAAAATAACTGTAAAAATCAGTTGCAATTGGCTTTACTCAAAAGATCGGTACGAGACACAAAAACAACCAACATAAAACAATAGACATAAAGCACCGAAATAAGAGTACTCGCAGTTACTGAAAGCTTTGCATATCTTTAATGGTAATTTAGGAGTCAGATCTAGGTAAAGGGACATAACTCTTAAACTATCACTGACACGTTTGTCTTGACCATTTTTATAAATATCTTCTAAGCTCTTTAGTAGCAGATTATTTTGCATCTGTTTCACATGATTGCTTAAAAACATTGATCGCGCTGCCTTTTACATACGCATAACTGATTAAAACAGTTATTTACATTACCCCACATCTACGCCCTTAAGGTCTAATACCACTAAAACATAGTACGTCACATCAGGTTTCATGGTAAGAAGGGACGAATGAAATATTACCTTATATTTTAGAGTTGTTGGAAGTTAACCCTGCATTTTGCTTCAGACAAAATTTTTCTGAGTAATAAAAATATATCTTGGTTTTTTTTTTAATTTGGTGTACATAAATATTATTTTTGGAAACTTGATGACATGGTACCTAAAGGTTGTAAACTGGAAAATAAGAGACGAAAAGTTTCTTGGTTTACTTCCGGTGATGGCTATTTTCTTATAGGCAATACATTATTGGGTGAAATGTTAACTATAGTATTGGACTGGATAAAACTTTACTAATGCCAAGCATTTCTGTATTCGAAACAAAGATAAATTCTGCACAAGTTTTTTGAAAAATGCCAATTTTACCAAGATTAATAGAGGAAGAACAATGATGGTACCCCTTGAACTATTTTTTTCTATTCATCTTTTGTCATTTGGTTATCTTAACTAAACTTGCCGATTACAG